AGGGTTAGGGTTAGGGTTAGGGTTAGGGTTAGGGTTAGGGTTAGGGTAGGGTTAGGGTTAGGGTTAGGTATTTGAATACTCAGTCCTCAGTTGGTGGAATTGTTTGGGAAGGATTATGGATCTGATGTGGTCTTGTTAGAGGTGGCATTTCACTGGCTTTTCAAAAGCCTATGGCATTCTCTATTCACTCTCTGCCTCATGTTGTCTCAAGATGTGAGCTCTCAGCTACTACACAGTGCCATGCTTGCCTGCCTGCTCTGTGCTCCCTGCCATGACGGTCATGGATGCTCACCCTCTGAAACAGTAAGCCTCCAATAACTACAAGTTGCATCTCATCACAGCAATAGAAGTCTATGTTATAAATAAACCCTTTCTACTTTGACTACCCCTTTTTTTTTCTTTCTTTCTTTTTTTTTTTTTTTTTTTTTTGGTTTTTTCGAGACAGGGTTTCTCTGTGTACCCCTGGCTGTCCTACAACTCACTCTGTAGACCAGGCTGGTCTCGAACTCAGAAATCCACCTGCCTCTGCCTCCCACGTGCTGGGATTAAAGGCGTGTGCCACCACTGCCCGGCTTGACTACCCTTTTTAAGCTGACTTTTGTTAGGTTATTTTCTTCCTGCAACAGACAGGAAACTAAGACCATGGCTGTTGTGATCCAATGAGACCTGACCTTCTCTGGATGATGGCATGTGGATTCTGGGATATGGAAGTGGTTTTGTGTGATTAAAGCTGTGGTAAGCCCCGTCCATAATGTTATTGTTTGTGTAGCCCATACACAAACCCTCGGCCCAGGGAGTTGCACTATTAGAAGGTGTGGCCCTGTTGGAGTAGGTGTGGTCTTTTTAGAGTAGGTGTGTCACTTTGGGTGTGGGCTTTAAGAGCCTCATCCTAGCTGCCTGGAAGTGAGTATTCTGCTAGCAGCCTTCAGATGAAGATGTAGAGCTCTCAGCTTTTCCTGCAGCATGTCTGCCTGGATGCTGCCATGCTCCTGCTTGATGATAATGGACTGAACCTCTGAACCTGTAAGCCAGCCCCAATTGAATGCTGTCCTTATAAAAGTTGCCTTGGTCATGGTGTCTGTTCACAGCAGTAAAACCCTAACTAAGGCGCATATGTATGGAGAAAGATCATGAAGAATGAAGGGCATCGAGCTGACAGAGCTAGAGAAAATCTCATGATTGTGTTTGCACTGCTGGCTCCAGCCATATCCAAAGCTGGAAGAGCCACCTCAAGATTTCTCAGACCTTCCCTTTTCTAAGTAAACTACCATGCCCTGGTTCCTGCTGCTTGCAACCAAAAATCTCTGCTTACTAACCCATTAGTATCATTGGCCTTTTCAAAGGCCAGAAGGCCTGCACTCCCAAGACCTGAAAAACTTGGATCTGGGCTGGGGAGATGTTTTTAGATCACAGAAAAGGAATAGAAGTATTGAGAAGCTTGGTGAGATTAAAGCCAGTCATGATCCCTGGCTCAGCCCTAATGCTCTTTCATGGAGTCATTGACCTCCCATGGCCTGCAGATGTTCCTCCCATGGCCTACAGATGCTCCTCCCATGGCCTACAGATGCTCCTCCCATGGCCTGCAGATGCTCCTCCCATGGCCTACAGATGTTCCTCCCATGGCCTGCAGGTGCTCCTCCCATGGCCTACAGATGCTCCTCCCATGGCCTGCAGATGCTCCTCCCATGGCCTACAGATGCTCCTCCCATGGCCTGCAGATGCTCCTCCCATGGCCTGCAGGTGCTCCTCCCATGGCCTACAGATGCTCCTCCCATGGGCTACAGATGCTCCTCCCATGGGCTACAGATGCTCCTCCCATGGCCTGCAGATGTTCCTCCCATGGCCTATAGATGCTCCTCCCATGGCCTGCAGATGCTCCTCCCATGGCCTGCAGATGCTCCTCCCATGGCCTGCAGATGCTCTTCCCATGGCCTGCAGATGCTCCTCCCATGGCCTGCAGATGCTCCTCCCATGGCCTGTAGATGCTCCCTGAAGTTCCCAAGAGACACTCACTCACTCCTGGTGTCCATGTACCTGGTACATCAGCTTCTCTCTGGCGTTGTGCTCAGTGAGGTCCTCAGGGGATGCCACGGTCAGCTGTACAAGGAGGAAGCCTCCATCTTCACCTGAAGGTTGAGGATAGACAAGAGATGATGCAAACACATCTGACTCATCTCCATCTCCAGCCTGGGCCCCTCTCCACACGTGTCTACACTGCCACCAGAAAACGTGTGTGCATCTACATGGATCTAACATTTTGTTCAGTGCAAACCGAAAGGAGGACCCCCTTCCTAGAGTAATTATGCCTACTGCAGTGTCCCCCTGACCAATGAAAGAAGTACATGGTGTTTTAGGGTACCCCCGTATTTGAAAAAGCCAAAGAGAAGAGCAAAGAAGGGAAAAGGCCTGGAGTCCATGGATGAGTCAGTTGGAGAGGACCCTGGGCAGAAAGAGTGCTGGAGAGGGGTGGCCCTCTGAGGGTTGCCCTGAAAGAATGCTGGGGAGGAGCTGGTCCTCTGGGGGTGCCCTGAGCTGAGTGCTGTTCTTCCAGCAGTAAGTTGGTAGTGTCAAGAGGTCTCCTAGCTGAGCCTTTCTGCCTTTCCAACTCTACCAGAAAGTTTTTGTTTTGTTTTGTTTTGTTTTGTTTTTTGTGATAGCTAGCCAGTCCTAGGCTAGGGATTCCTAAGTTAGTCCCAGCAGCCTATAGGGTCATTAGTTTCTGGAGAACTTTCCCTAGACTCCCTGACCTGGCACTGACTGTTTTTGTGCCTAATTGTCACCAAGCCAAGGAAATGAATAATCTGTGAGGTTGTGGATTTGGAATTTAAGTGCTCAGAACTCTCTCCTGAGTCCTTCAAGTGGTTCAATGG